CTTGACTTGGACTTACACGAAATGACTTGTGACTTGGGCTTGCACATTATGACTTGCTACCAATGCAAGTCAGAAAAGTGTTCAATTGAACCCATTACAGTTTTAAACTAGGCCTATCAACTTACACCTTGCGTCCATGTCTGAATTACTTGGCTGTGCACTACTTAACTTTTTGATTGTTTTTCCCCAACTTTCTAGGGGGGCTAATTAATAGCTTCGTTTGAGCCTTATATTGGATATTTCATGTCAGTTCATGATGTCACTCAGCCTAGAATTGAAACCAAAAATACCGTCCCAGTCTCAAAGGCCAAAAATTTCTGCATAAGATGCCACGTTTAGGTGGTTGTAACATGCCTTCAAGACACGCTAACAGATTATTTTTGTATTAACTACCCACATTCAGACATCTGTTGAGCATTCATCCTGTAAATTTCCAGTTTGGGGGAGAATTGGGCCAAATTCGCTGTACTAAAGCGAGCGCAGACATCATATGTCAAGACTGTACTATGTACAACGATGTGTGACATAGCAAACATTTAAAATGGCTCACATTTTGCATTGTTTGCACACATCACAAGTTCTTGGCTACTGCACCAGGCTGTAGAAGGATATTTATGTGTGCTAAACTCAAAGGGTCTTGTTGGCTAATGTTTCAGTTTGATAACGTTGGTGAACGTGAAGCATGTTGACAAACTCCCGCCGATCACACTCAAGTGATATAAAATAAAGCATATCCTACCAGTATTACATGATTTGAAGCCTTTGGACAAACAAAATAATTATCCAAAACCTTCCTGTGTGATTCGTGTCACGGATCGCGAAATAACCATGGAAGGTCTTGGAATCAAAATTAGGCTGTAGCTTGAAATCACACATAGCGTAACTTGACTTGTGCTTGGACAAAAAGAGTTGTGACTTGACTTGTGACTGGACCAAGTGACTTGACTTGACCTGTGATCAATGACTTGTGACTTGCTTGTGTTTGGACCTTGTGACTTGACTTGACCTGTGATCAATGACTTGTGACTTGCTTGTGTTTGGACCAAGTGACTTGTGACTTGGCTTAAACTTGCAAAAAATGACATGCTATCACCTCTGGTTCAAAGTCCCACCTGAGTCATGCTTATGATTCTTTCACAACCCTTGGACCACTCTGAGAATACAGTGTTTATCAGTGCAAGGGCAAAACCTAATATAATTTTGTCTTTCTTAACCACTTTGTGCCGGGGTACCCGGTTTCGTGCACATAGACTTTATACACGAAGCCGGGGAGCCCGAAATTGGACAAAAGAGCTGGGCCTTGTAACAAAAGACTGTACTCCGAAGTTACTGAGCTTGCTGGAAATTGCCAACATTTTTTCAATTGTCAATAGCGGAGGAAATCTGTCATTGTTTTGAAAGATTATACCACTGTTCGTGGCATTCAACGCAAGCGGATTACCACCGGCGACAGAAGTCCCCGGTGGTAATCCGCTTCAGTGATGAGTGATACAATACCGCTGCACACTAATTTGGCCCCTATTGACAAGACGTCAGCAGTGCACTGTGCCAGTTTTGGGAACAAAAGAAAATTACATAACACTGGACAATCTGGGATCTTTTTACAAGGCGGCAGGCCTGGCTGAAATACTTGGGGTCAATAGATGTTGTCTGTCAGATTAGAGTAACCAGCGGACTGTCATTCGTGTGGGTGTAAACGTCAAGTAAATGAAGTTATGAATTTTTAAAGAATTTTGAAATCAGAGAAAAAAGAAAAGTTACCCGTCCCAGCAGAATTGACATGAATAAATGGGCCAGGCACAAAGTGTTTAAACTCGTCTGTTATCATGAGTCATCACAAGTAATCATAATACATTAATTGTTTATCATAAGTCATTGCAAGCCATGAGTCATTGCAAGTCATGGTATATTATCACATATCCTTAAAACATTGTTGGTTTTAAGGATGGTTATGGAAATAAACTCCCTGTGAGAAGATTCTTTCTGCTAAGCTGTCATTTTGAAGAAAAAAATGAGAAAAAAATATTTACAACGATGGTATAAGAAGCATGTTTTGAAGATAACCATTGGAAATGCACACAGGGGCACAGTTACTGTAATTCATTGGTTCAGTGCATGACAATTCATAGCTGCCTTCCACTGAGTATTGTTATTCTTGGAATGTCCGTATTCACTGAGCCAAAACTTCATCAGGTTTGTGTTTAGACACTCGTCTTTAGATTTTGAGTAATTTTTTGGCCTCAAGGGAACATAAAACACAAATGATGGAATGTACCTTCAATCACCACTCTCTTTGTGTATACTCCATTAACTGTAGTGTTCAATATTTTTCCATGACTGTAATTTTTAGAGTCTTGATGGCAAGATGTCAAATGCCGTAATTGAAACCTAGATTCAGTCAGCAATTACTGCACAGGTTGTCAGTGTTTAACTTCTTTCACTGTTGGAGAATTGTGATACTTGTTCTTTGCAGGCCATCATATTTGCAATTCAAAAGACCAGACGAGTAGTGAGACATACCGCAGAGGAGCTGTTCCACTCAGAAGGGGTTCAAAGTCTAATAGACCTGGGTGATGACATGCCTGCTGCATCGTCTACAGTCAGTACTTCCTGGGATAAAGCACTACCTTCCTCAACAAACAATAACAGATTCTTGTGAGGTCCAGAATTGAGGACGGTTATCCTAGGGAGCGACAATTGGATGTCACTTCTCCGTAAGTCATGAACTGAGTGAAAAATGCGCATTTGTTCAGAGCCAGAGACACGTCACGAATGTAGGCCATCAAAATACTGGTAGATGTCAGCAGAAGTGTGGACTCAGGCCTTCAACAAATTGATTCCTTGCACCAGTCATCAGATGTGTGGATGCAGGCCTTTAACAAATGGACTCCTAGCACCTGTCAATAGATGTGTGGGTGCAGGCCTTGAGCAGACTGACTCCTAGCGCCTGTCAGTAGATGCATGGATGCAGGCCTTGAGCAAACCGACTCCAAGTACCTGTCATCAGATGATTTCAACAAACTGACTCCTAGAACTTGTCATCAGATTTGTGGACATGGGCCTTCAGCAAACTGACTCCTAGTACCAGTTATCAGATGAGCGGAAGCAGGCCTTCAGCAAACTGACTCCTAGCACCTATCAATAGATATGTGCACGTACATGTAGGCCTTGAACACACTGACACCTAGCACCTGTCATCAAATGTGTGGATGCAGGCCTTGAGCAAACTGACTCCTAGTACCAGTCATCAGATGAGCAGAAGCATGCCTGCAACAAACTGACTCTTAGCACTTATCTTTAGATGTGTGGATGTAGGACTTGAACAAACCGACTCCTAGCACCTGTCAATAGATGTGTGGATGCAGGCCTTGAGCAAACTGACACCCAGCACCTGTCATCAGATGAGCAGAAGCAGGTCTTCAATGAACTAACTCCTAGCATCTGTCATCAGATGTGTGGATGCAGGCTGTCATCCTGTCATTAGTTAAATGGATGCAAACCGGTGACAAACTCAAACCTGGCACCTGTCATCAGATGAGTTTATGCAAGTGTTCAATGAACTCATACCTTCCACTTGTAATCACACAAGTCGAAAACAAATTGATCCTGGCACCCGTCAAGATTTGATAAAAGAGTTCATCTGCAACCCCGAGCTGGTTCTCACTCCTCAAAACGTAGGGCGGCTTTCATTTACACCTCTTATTGGTCACTGGATGGACACAATGTCCGAGATATTGGCCTTCATAGTTTTGTATCAGGGCAAATAGAGAGGGGCCTTCAGCACTGCATGGGAAACACCAAACATTGAATAACTAGACATTAGCCTCTCAAAAGTCAAGTCATTCGTCTTATGATGGCAGAAGTATGTACAGTTCTTGTATGTATGTATAATGAAGCAAGTAAACGCTAAATTAATATTTTTGTAATTTCATATTCTTGGCCTGGTTGACTGTGTTAGATTTCCATCATCAAATTAATCAATAAAACCATTTTGTTTACGAAGAGTTCAGGGACACAAGCTGGAGTGACCTTGTGTATAAAGTGTAAGATCATGATCAACCATTCACTGTCCCACCAACGCATTGTTTTTCTATAAGGCAAACCATTATAACGTGTATGCTGCTGTTACTAATTTGAAAATGCACTGATCTGTTCTGCAGAATTAAATGGCTTACATGTATATATTTGAGATTCATGTTTAACAGATTTTTTGTACTTTGTACAACCGTCACGCCTACAAAATGTGACAACATAATATTCTACTCCTAGAGTTTTGAAAAATTAGAACTAACCAAGCCAATCATTCCACAGACTTTGTAGTAATTTGTCATTCCATTAAATGGATTTTTCTTTTAAATGTACTTATACAATTATTGATGAATTTCAATGCCTTTTGTCATTTAGTTTGGTAATTGACACAAATTGTACAAAACTGTCCCTGACCTTTGTTTTTGCCAGTAGCAATGGGATTTCTGCATTAGATGTTAAATCATCTCGAGGATATTATGTAATCATGTCTTTTGTTTTACTTTCTGTTCTAAGTTTGTACGGTAGGGGGCTGCCATTTTGCTCATATTCACCCTCTGCCCTATTCAAAAAGCACTGGGACCTCCAGTTTCTTTTTGGCATTAATGCATGTAATTTTCTTTCACAAACTTTGGCATAAGTGATCAGTACTCACCAATATCCAGGAAGCGTAGATGGCCTGGAAGCGTAGATGGCCTGGAAGCGTAGATGGCCTGGAAGCGTAGATGGCCTGGAAGCGTAGATGGCCTGGAAGCGGAGATGGCCTGGAAGCGTAGATGGCCTGGAGGCGTAGATGGCCTGGAGGCGTAGATGGCCTGGAGGCGTAGATGGCCTGGAAGCGTAGATGGCCTGGAAGCGTAGATGGCCTGGAGGCATAGATGGCCTGGAGGCGTAGATGGCCTGGAAGCGTAGATGGCCTGGAAGCGTAGATGGCCTGGAGGCGTAGATGGCCTGGAAGCGTAGATGGCCTGGAAGCATAGATGGCCTGGAAGCGTAGATAGCCTGGAAGCATAGATGGCCACTTTAAGCCTTGTAATGAAATAGACTGATTGCGCCTGCTAAGTCACGTGACCTATAGCAAGTATTAAATATCAACAAACACAGCGTCCACCAAAAAGCAAAGTGTTTCATAAGTATCATTTACCAACAATAAAGTCAACGGTAGGTACCATACTCAGACTACTGATGTGCTGGGTACCACACTGTAACTTGGCTGTATTGTCTGTACATGTAAACTACACTCAAAAGCACACGTTTCTATGGGGTTGATACCCACAATAGGTCTATTGTAGAACAGGTGACTTAAATATATTACCACTGCAGGGCACTTCTTTCAAGTGGCTACGCAGCATTCTTTTATTTTTCAAACTTCAGCTAATTATTTGTGTGCATGCGTGGCATTGGGGACAGTCCACTGCTTTTAACAGATGTTGCAACTTGTAACAATAGACAGTGAAATTGCTAGCATAACTGTAGACGTGAAATTTAATACTTCCTTGTGCAGTGATGCACAATGGAGTGCATCCATCTATATAAACACCTCTTTTATGCTTGTGTTACTGCCTAACCAGAATAGTTCCAAAGTGGGAGAGTGTCGTGGCCTTATTGACCACAAGGTGGATCCTGGGGGTTGGACCAGACCACCCGCCCCCTCCCCTAAAGAAGTGGAAGAAAGGCTCTGGGGTCCGTTTCATTTCCCAATACTTCTAAAAACGTGTACAAGTCCCAAATAGCTTCACCACTGACATAATAAGGCCATAAGGTTATATTTTCAAAAAATACCCACTCCCAAACATTTGGATTTGGATCCCAGTGTTGTAGTTGAGACCACTTAGGACCTTCACAAGATGAACACAAGACTTCCAGTCTGAAGTCAAGTCACAAGCTATTCAACTGAACTGCAACAAAAGCATCCCTTTGTCGTTCAACCTGTTAGTGTTACGTGTCACCGGTTTTGTGCATGGTCTTGTGTCTGGTCTTGTGATGGTCTCAACTACAACACTGCTGGATCTGCCCTGAATTGGTTGACCACACATTCAACTAACATACCTCAAGTCAAGTTGCAAGCGATTCAAAGCGTAAGTATTCCTTTCTTACACAATGAACATCTCATGTTGCGAGCAAATTTGCGATTTGACTGCACTAAAATTGTGACAGATTTGTCAGGAAACGTGACACTCGTAGGTCTAGCGAGAGGATATTGTGATAGATTTGTCAGGAAACGTGACACTCGTAGGTCCAGAGAGGATATTCTAACATTTCTGGAGTCTAATTTTAGCGAAATTCCAGGGGAGTTTTCCACATTACCATGCTTGTTATTTTTTCCTCAACTGGCTAACTTTAAAGACAGAATTATCACTTAAAAATTCCAGGGGAGTTTTCCACATTACCCGGCATGCTTGTTATCAAGTTTTTCCTCAACTGGCTAACTTTAAAGACAGAATTATCACTTAAAACATGCCTTTGTGATATTTCAGAGTTCATTTCACTTGGGGCGCTCGTTTTTCATGTTGTAGAGTTACCCCCCCCCCTCCTTTTGTGAAGTTTTACTGGATCCATATCCGCCACCAGAGCCCCCACTCACTGTAGAGAGCAGCAATGGCCCCACCCGACTCCCTTTATGTTCAGCGTGAACGAAGAGGGCGCTCCTTCGAGATGGGTACCCGTAGCGCGTTGGTTGCCTGCACTCGGTGGCGATCTCGACTGTGTGCAGTTAAAGGTCATTACTCTGTCATCATGTACGTTACGTTTATTCGTATTCAAGGTCGTGGATGTCAAGACGAAAATAATTTCCTGACCTACAAAGATGTTCTCGCACCAGTTCTCTTGGAAATTGGGCCTGGAAATGTGCCTGCAACACAGCAGATTCACGGGAAGCTGATGCTCTATCGAGCTGTTTCAAAGCGTTGTTGATAACAGCGGAGCAGAATGGTGAAACTGAAAGATTTTCATATAATTTTGGACAGTAACAAAACTGTTTACTCGGCCGGCGAGTATGTGTCGGGGCACGTTGTGGTGGAGTTGCGAGGGGATATGAAGATGAGAGGCATTCGAATCTACATGCGAGGACTTGCAAAGGTAGAAATTCGGCCATTAAATGACAGGCCTGTTGGTCAGTGGCTGAGCCCGAAGTTTGGTGTAGTTGCATGTCATTTCCTTTAGTATGTTCAGTATGTTAAACATACAGTATCGGTCACCTGTACACTGCAGGCTGCATATCTCATGAGCTTTTTTCACGCTTCATCATCGTGTGCATGATTAGAAGATTTAACAGAAGGGAACAAATTCATAACAACCTTGCGTAACGTTTGCCGAATGGATGCCCACGATGGTTATTATAGACAATTTGTTCCCCTCTAGCTTTGTACACCTACTTGCACAGGGGCGCTAAAAACAACATGGTGACGGAACACGAAATTGGCTTATTTTTATGAGCTTAATTGCAGAATACCCCACCACCCCACATGATCAACCTCAGAGCCAGGTACAGGTCAAAGTGTCACACTCTTCTCAAGGGATTTCCACCTTGTACCCACGTAACTAGTATTCTGCAATTACTTTTTTTCATGAGTTTGTCATGTTACCGGTAGGCTGACTGTCCGACTGTAGGCCTACGGCCAGGCCTAACGTCACAAAAAAAATTGTCAGCCTGAGAATCAAAAAGGCATGTTAAATATTGATAGCTGATGGCCGCTGCTAACTGGTTGATAATGATGTGCAGTTCCTCCAGAACTGTAGGGTCCAACGTCCACCCCGCTCCCATGAATCTTAAAGGAGACCAAGCCTTTTTCGCCATAGGTTCTGCATGACGTTTAACAGGGCATGAACAGGGATTTTATTCTTGTTGTGTACCCATAGATATGTTGCTCCATTCCCCCTAAGAGGTTTATGTATGGAATCTTACAGACCTTCGTACTGAGTACCTAGTAAAAATCGGGCCAAAACATGCAGATTTTCAAAACAAGGTGCAAATATTTCCCAATCAGTTTCCAAGAGTCATGCGGTTCACATATGTACTTGCGAAGACGATCTGTGACCATATATTTGACTGCAGCTGCGAGTGATACACAGAATATGGAAATTGGCTGCCGCCGCTTTCTGTACGTGTTTGTGTAATGCTTAGCTACGACTGGACTGAATGGTTGAAATGGCAGTTGGCTGAGGTGCACTGGGAGTCACACTGACCAATCACAGGGCTCCTCATTATTTATGCCCAAATGGTAGTAACGACAAGCAACAGCCGTTGGGTGCCAGTGCACGTGAGCGCGCTGTCACACCAAGAACACTTTGTGTTAAGGCTGCATGTGGATGTGGGCAAAGATCACTGCCTGTCCGCAATTTACAAGACACCTGCAATTTTTCCAAAAACCACCACGGTCACTTTGTCATTTGATTGCATGAATGAAATCCCTCATCTGGCATTGGTTTTCATACATTGTAATGTCAGACAATTGGGCCCAGAAATTTACACCATTGTAACCTACATGTATGCCTTTGCTCGTGTAACTGTCACAACTGTTGCATGGTTCTTGTAGAATGCAAACTGTGGTGTAGCGAGAGTTTAAGGGGAAAAAAACAAAAGAAAGATCTCATTTGGACTTCCATATGATGTCAATTATTTTTGCGAATCATACAGGTTCATTGGAGTGAGTCCAGGGGAGGTGGCCATCAGACTGGCTCCTACACCAAATACTACGATGCGGAGGAAGAATATTTCTACATGAAGCAGGTTCTCTTTGGAAAAGGTAAACAGTGGCTCAATATCCACTGGTACCCGACGTGTAGTCGGTGCATTACAGAAACACAATTCATGGTGGTCACCAATTTATTTTTTTTTTCTTTGTACATTTATTTTATCACAACATTTATAAGAGGCGTGGTATTTGACAAGATCTGATTATTGATGAAATCATCTCAGTTCCCTGTGGAGTATAGACATGATCAGAACATGATAGGACATGATGCTGCCAGGCCAGGTGCAAATGGCTGAACAACATAACCATTTCTGCCCTCACAGGTATCCATTTACTCCTGGGTGGAGAGAGGCAAGTAGGGGTAAAGTGACTTGCTCGAGGTCACAACTTGTAACCACCTGCTAGGATTTGAACCTTGAACCCTGTGATGGGGCCTCAACCTATGAATAAATGTGATATGATTTAACTATGTGTACATCTTCACTCCAACAATAATGCTGCGGGATCTGCCCTACAGTAGTGCTCTAAGTTAGGATTGCCTAGCTAGAGTATACTGTCCCAACTATAGTTGGGATTGATGTTGTAGTCAGGGCCTGACAAACGTGCTATCTTTCCTTACACGTTTTCTCCTTAAATGCTTCTGAACAAGCAGAATGTTAACCTTTGGCCTTCTCCATCATTACCAGTACCCCTGAGCTACACGTACACAGCACTCCCCGGTAGGTTAGTACAGCCTGGTTGGACCATACAGTTCTGTTTGATAATGCAAAGTTCTCACCATGGAATGAAAAGTGTCGTAAATTTTAAATTGGTCCTGCTTGATGTGAAGCCCAACCCTGCAAGCCAGTATCCTGTAGAAACTGCACTGACTCTTTAAAAGTCAGTCGTAAGTCCAGTGGTCCCTTCTTTACACTGGGCAGTGTTGAGTTTACCATACCAGGCCATAGAAAGTAATATTGGAGTTTGACAGTATGATTAACCCTAACCATCCTCAATCCTTCAAAATCATCCAGGCAGTTTAGAGGATTTTGGAGGATTGAGGCTGCATGGCATTGGCATGGCATTGCTGATTGCAAAGGATGTATTGGCTCACGGTTGTGTGTTAGACCTTGTGTTGTTCATGCTATGCCATGCATAAATTCCTGCCAACATCATATGTGAAATCCTCCATTCTGCTCCAGGATACTATTCACACTGCCTCAACATGAGAGGAATTGTCAGAGGATTTTGAAGGATAGAGGCAGTGGGCACCCTTCTACAGAACATATTCAAGAAATGTCAGAGGATTTGGGAGAATTGAGGCTATACATGTATCCAATTTTTTCATTGGGGCTGTTGGAGGATTTTGAAGGATGGAGGGTACATGTATATCCTAGTCAAAAGGGCCCAGATGATTTGGGTTAATACAAATCATGTCATAGCCTGGAGTTGGATTGGGCAGTTTTCATTTTGGGCTCAATTATGCTTGCTAATGTACATGTGTACATGTGTATATGGCATGCTATTTTGGATTCTTTAAACAAACTCTGTTTTTGGATGTGCTTTCAAACACAAACACTTCGAACTCAAACATTGCCAACAGAACAATTTAATTGGAAGGACTTAATGAGGATAAATTCCAAATGTAAATTTCATGTCTCTCATTGGGGACAATGACATCTCATTGGATGATGACATCATATTTGTGGGTGTGTAGCTCAGAAAATGTGTCACCATCAAGAGTGTTTTCCATTGCCATTTCTCATAAGACCTTTTTGTGTTGTCACAGATGAACATGAAGGCGGCAGTAACCCTATACTCCGAGCTGGCCATCACGAGCTACGATTCAGCTTTCAAATTCCATACGGGTAAGCCCTGGTATCTGATTTTGGAGTAACAGGTTGTGCTCTTGAATCTAGAAAATGTTTAACAAGACATTCTTTTGCCAAATGATCGTTGAGGTGAGAGAGCAGTTAAGTGCCCCTGAACCAGTGCTGTGTGGAGAAAATTAAAATGAGGAGCCACTGGCTTCTAGAGTTAGGCACCAGGTCAGTGGTTGTACATACTTTACACGCATTTTCAAAATCCGCAAGTTACATGTACAAAATCTGACAAAACATTGTTCTGTCAATTATCCGTTGGACAGACAGGCTTTGGATTTTGTGCATGTGCAGTCAATCAAAAATGGCAACTAATTATATGAAAAAACAGCTGAAAGAAAACAAAGGCATATTTGTTCTTTAAAGAAGGGTAAGGTGGGTTTTTGGTACCTGGGACCGGACCAGACTCAGGGAATCTTGGAACGTTTGGGTGTCAAACTTAAATTTGGGACTGAAACAAGTTTAATGCACTGGAATTGCGGCGTGCATAGACTGCTACTGCATTATGAATACGCAAAACGTCTCAGCTCCCCATACACACTCTATAAAGCATGTGACCATGAACCAGTCGACTCAGGTACCTAGTTCCTGTACATGAGTGTATGTGGCTACATGCAGGGTACATGTACGTTCCAGTGAACATGGGCTCATGCTCTGTACATTGTGCACAGTAAGACGGAGAGAAAAACCAGTTCATCATAGAGACACATCACTTGGTGCACGTAGAAGAAAACTGGGCAGCAATCGTTCATGGAATACGACTGACAAGGTGGGCGACTAACGGGCACAAATCATGGTTGCCATTGGTGATAAGAGCTAAACATTTGGTCACATATCATCATTTTTGAGGCGCAAATGGGACTGTTTTGGTCACTTGATGGCTGGTGATGGACTTTCAGCGACTTTTGACAGTGTGACAGACTCAAATGCAGTCTTTAAATGATCAAGATTGACCTAATCCACCTGATAAATCAAGCAGGATTCAAACGAGAACTGAGAAAGTTTGATAGAACAGAAAAAAAACCTAGCACACCTGGATTTTCTCTGAATTGTGTAGACCCGCCATAGGTTTACATAACCTGGACAGATTGAGCTGTTTGCCCTTTCATGCTTGTGTCCTTGAGCTGGACACACAGCTGTGATTGCTGCTCTCCACAAAGGAACAGTGTCATAAAGGCTAGTTGGTACTTCAGGCAAAAGCAAACACAAACGCGCGTCTGAGCGTCAGATTAAATGTTTTCATGGCAAATTTGTAAAGTTGAACACATTTCAACTAGAGTGAAATGCCTTTGCAAATTTTTGGGGACGTCAAATCCTTTCGCTTTCGCATTGGCCAAAGCATGAACCAGCCTTACATCAAGGGAAAAATTGATTGGGACAAGTCATGGGCCCAGTCATCAGGCAAACAAGGCCTTGATTAGTTGCAGAACTAAAGGATTGGCCCACTAGTTGTGGACAGTAATGATTGTGTTTAATTTAGTGCAAATATTTATATCATTTGCCCTTACAGGAGAGTAGCGACATCCTTTGAGGGTAAATACGGAAGAATACGTTACTGGCTAAAGGCAGAGATTGACAAGCCGTGGGGATTCAACAGTAAAACCAAACGGGCCTTCACAGTCATTGATCATATTGACATCAACACCCCTGCACTTCTGGTAAAGGGATTCACTCAATTTCACAGTCCAGTTCCTTGAAGAGATCAGTTAATATCATTGGAACCGTGAATAATGGTTACAGCAGAAAGACACTCAGCTACAACTAGCCTGCCATCCACATGAAGCCACACTGGCATATTTTGAAATGCTTTAAACATTTCAGTGTGGAGAAAGTTTTATCTTGTGGACGATGTTACTATAAGACGTTCAGAGTGACTACACAAAACTTCAGTATTGATAACAGAAAAAAAAATGTGGTTTCAATTTATTTCCTAGGCAGCGCTTCTGTCAACATGAAGCAAACCATTAGTCATATCCTTTGTGTATTGTCAAGGGGTGCAAGTCATGACCTTTTCGTGAATGCTTTTCCTTTGTTTCGTATCACAGGCTCCCCAGACAGGATTTCAAGAGAAGACGGTGTGTTGTGGGCTATGTGTCGCCGGTAACATCAGTATGTCTATCAAGACAGACAGGAAAGGCTATTGCCCAGGTACTGAATCCTGACTCATTCAAATGCAACAGAATGTAGCAAAAGATAACAACATGCAATGCTTTTTTGACTTGGAATAAATACGTTAAGTATATTTTTGAGTAGTATGGGCAGCTTATTAGTGTTGTAGTGAATATATTCTATGTTTCCTCCACGTGACTGGTTTTAAATAATCGGATGAATATTGATTATAGAATGTTTGTAACACAGTTCATTTGAAATGGTTTAGGACTTTGCTAAAATCTTGATGATATGTGATGGACTTTTAGGGACTTAAGATGGACTCGGCTGCAACATGTAGATATGTTTTGTTGACTGATGTTGACCTTCCATAACCTTTAACCCTCGTATGGTTTTACAGCACAAATG